AACCTGACGGACAAACCTGACGGACGAACCTGACGGACGAATCTCGCGGCCGAACCTGACGGACGAACCTGACAGACGAACCTGACGGACAAACCTGACGGACGAACCTGACGGACGAATCTCGCGGCCGAACCTGACGGACGAACCTGACAGACGAACCTGACGGACAAACCTGACGGACAAACCTGACGGACGAACCTGACGGACGAATCTCGCGGCCGAACCTGACGGACGAATCTCGCGGCCGAACCTGACGGACGAACCTGACGGTCGAACCTGACGGATATGACGAACCGGACGAAAAACGGACGGAAAACGGACAAAAAACGAACGAAAAGCTGTCGCAAAGCTGAAAAAGCTGACGAAAAGCTGAAAAGCTGAAAAAAACTGACGAAAAGCTGATGAAAAGTTGAAAAAAGCCGACGAAAATTAAACATTTTTCCAAAATTATACTTCGGATCTAGTTTTTTTTTTGCAACACAGAGCTCAGAAAATTCCCGGGATACACCCTAGGTCTCTGGGGGGTTTCCATCACACAATCTCTTCTGAGTCCCTAGGAAGTATGCATACTAACCTGGGAGCTCCCCTGCCTGCCAACCATCCTTAGGATCTCAGCCGACTCAGAAGAGATTGTGTGATGTACGAAAGACCATGCAAACGATTTCATTCATATAGGCAGGGTTCTAAATGTACCGACATCTCCCGGGTTCCGCCGCCCACTATACTTTGCGTGCGATGGGGGCGGGGCTTAAGTCGACACCCTTATTAGAGATAGTTCATCATTTTTGAGAGTTTTTAACAGAATTTTTTTTTGGAAGATTCAAGAATAAAAACATACTTCCATGACTTCAAAAACCTGGAACACAATTTAAATTTGTATTTTTATTTTTTCGTACTAGTATAATAGACATAATTTTTGAAATTTTTTTGATCTACCAAAAATTCACTGAACCGCCGCGACAATTTCCAGTTGTAAAATGACTTTTTCTGATTCATTCACTTTCTTCATTTTTTTCATTCCAATTTTCTTTTTTCCAGTTCCTTTAACCCAATATTTTTCCTTTCCAGAAACCATGCCCCCTCGGAAGAATGCTTTTGCTCACAAGAAGAATACAAATGAGAATAACCAGAACAAAAATTCGTACCAAAAGAAGCCGGAGGTGATTCAGAAACAACCGGAACCATTTGAGCACTTGATACCAAGAATTGAGAGATTTGAGACGAATCTCGATGAGCATGATTCTGCGATTCTAGGTGTGCGAAAACGAATGGAACAGTATGAGGAGGAACGGAAGGAAGAAAAAAGGCAGGAAGGTGAGATTGGATTGTGGGATTTTCAAGGATTTGTAGCCTAGATAAAATAGTAGCTAATAACCGTAAAACCTGTAATAGAAGGGCCCCCAGACTGTCAAGTTTCTGCTAGTTGAAGCCCACTCTATACATGCTCTTTGAGCTAAATTATATCGGTTGCTATGAGAGATATTGAAAATTTGCTAACTGATAAAATGCTTCTGAAATTATGATAAACATTTTACTATGTGACAACTTTTTTGTATCTTGCACAGGAACCGAGATAATTGAGCTCAAAGTGCAGTACCTCACACTCTAATAGAACTTCCCCTCCCTTCCAAACCGCCAATTTTGAGCTTGAACATCTCGGTTCCTGTAGAAAATATCAAAAAGTTATCAACTTATAAAATGCCTGTCATGTTATCGTCTGCCATTTATCAGGGAACACATTTTTGATATCTCTCACAAGAACCGAGATATATGGGTTCAAACATGACCGTTTGAGATGCCTTCTATTATATGTAGTTTACTATCTGCCAATTTTGAGCTCATATAACTCGATTACTGTAAAAGATATCTAAAAATCGTCAACAGATAAAATGTTTATCATAATATCACTAACATATTATCAGTTGAAAATTGTTTGATATCTTTCACAAGAACCGAGATATATGAGTTCAAAGTTTACTGTACTTTATTGAATTTCAGAACTTGAAAGAGTCGAAGCCGAGAAGGCTGAAAAGGCCGCTGAAGAAGCTGCTGAAAAAGCCAAAATTGCCGCTGAGAAGGCCGCTGAAGCCGCTGAAAAGCAAGCAAAGACAGAGAACCAAAAGGAAAACGAAGCTTCGAAAGAAAACCAAGTTCCTGGGAACAATTCCAAAGACTCCAACAAGAACAAGAATTCCAACAACGCGAAGCCATTCAACAATTCCAATAAGAACAACAAGAACAAGAAGCGATTCAAGTAATCTGAATCTTATGATCCATCTGAATCGCTCTCCATCTATAACATATCTTACCTAAAATGTTTCATTTGTAATTAGAAATTGCTCATCTCGAAACTTATCTCTCCATCATTCTGAAAATATGAGAATCGTAACGTTGTTCCTAATAATAATAATTTTTATGACATTCAAAAGTCTTCTAATAAATTTCTTGATTAATAATAAAGTCTTTTTTATGTACTGTAGTTTAAATGATCAACAAAAAGTTCGGTATTTCGGACATCGCTTTGTTGGAACAGATGCTGAACCAAAAATGATGATTTCATATTATTGGGATTACTGCTTTTAGCCAGAGAACGTATGTCTTGCAACATTGTTGAAACAGCTCCAGGCAATAAAGGAAAATAGTTTCAAAGTTCAGAGCAAATATTTTCGATGAAAAAATTAGAACGTATAAAAGCGGATAACTTACTAGGAAAGACATGTTCTTCCTTCCTTGTGGAAACATGCACACACTCTTGGCTTTCTTGGCTTTGGCTGTGGTCCCGTCTTCTGGATTCCACTTTGGATTCCCAACTCCCACACCAACACTTCCAGGATTCCCATCCATTCAACCAACTCCAATTTCAACTTGTCGAGTTGCAACCGTTGGAAGTGAGCTTTCAGCATCCTGGTACTTATAAAAATATATTTTTAGGAGCTATTAGAAACGTCTGCCCAACTGGATACACAGCAATTACAAATGGAGGATGTTGCATTGCCTCTCAAATCATCTATTCTGGATCTACTAGTACCCCTTCATCTACCTGCGTTGATCGCCCAAATGTCAACGGAATCAAATAGTGTCCAGGATGGAAGAGCTACTGTAACGATGTTTTCTACAAGGATTACATGACCCGTCATTGCCCACAAACTTGTGGATTCTGTAAGTTTCGGTATTGATCATTATGAATCCAAATTCTTTTTCAGGTTCACCCACTCCTACTTCCACTTGTCGAGTTGCTACTGTTGGCAGTGAGCTTTCAGAATCCAGGTCAATAAATAACAACCTATTTTTAGGAGCTATCAGAAACGTCTGCCCAACGGGATACACTGCCGTTACCAATGGGGAATGTTGTATTGCCTCTCAAGTAACATATTCTGAATCTACTGCTCCCACCATTCGTCCTCCATTCTCCTGTGCCGATCGTTCGAATACCAATGGAATCAACGAGTGTCCAGGATGGAGAAGCTACTGTAACGACGTCTTCTACAAAGACTTCATGGCCCGCAACTGCCCACAAACTTGTGGATTGTGTAAGTCTTTGATCTACCGATTATAAACTCATATTAAATAATTCTAGGCTCTCCTACTACCCCATCCACCTGCATTGACGTCGTCAACCCAACCACCGGAAGATCGGAATGCTCTGCCAACTTGGGACTCTGCAACAATGTCGCCTTCAGAGATTGGATGAAGATCCAGTGCCCAAGAACTTGTGGATACTGTAGATAATTTCAAGGACTAGTTGAATTTATAAATGTCACTAGAATCAAAACCATTTTTTAAATAAAAATTTTAGCATGCAACCGAAAATTGAAAAGAACAGTTAATTCAAAACACAACAGCAGATTTGGTATTTGGTGTTTCCTCCTTTTCTCCTTTTCTTATCAATTTTTTGATTACGAAATCTCGATACGGCTTGTACATAACGACTAGAGCAATTGAAGTGTTCAACCCGATAGTTGGAATTATTAAATTGCAAATATTCATGAGTCCTGAAACAGAACCATTCTTGGATTAAAAAAAGTAGTTTTCTAGAATCCTTTACCCTGATTTCTGTATCCAGTAGTCAATACAAATGCAAAAATTCCCAATGGAACTACAAAAACAGCCAAGAAAATTGCCACTTGGGAGAATGATGCAAATAAAAACATTTTCTGCATTCTCCTAGTATTTCTTGAGTAACGGGCGGCCTCTTCAGAATAGATGTACCAGACACAATGGGAGACAAAAAATGAGTACTGTAGGGAGATGAAAAATAGAATTATGAGGATTCCAGTGCTGAATTCGTTGCGATTAGTGTCCACGGAGAATGTGTAAGAGGAAAAGTAGAGAGGATCTGGGCAAGGGTTGAGCTGAAAAGAAAAGATTTTTGAAATAATTCGAAAACCAAAATTTCAGGAAGAAACTTACCTTCAAAAACTTAAACTTCAATTCATCACTATCTGCTCTTAACCAAATCGCCAGGAGCATTACAGACATTCCCAAAAATGCATTAAAAATGATTAGAAAAATTCTAAAAGTGGGATTTTGAATTCGAAATCTGTAGCCTTTGGGAACCATGTGATGTTGGCGATTTTCAAAAATAAGAATTCCAGCTGATGATATTCCTGAAAATCAGAATTTCATAATTTTTAGAATTTCGCTATTTCTACCTCCATAACAACACATAGCAAAATAAAATTGAATTTCAGATGGAATCTTGAAAATTGTGCTGAAAATTCCAATGTATCCCATTGCAAAAATTGGATAAAATACATAAGGAATCAGGAAAACTGAATAAATCAGGTCTATCAGAAGCGTCCAAATTTTCAGATTCAATAGACATAATTTCAGATGAACCATTGATTTTGGAGTGTGGAAAATCAAAATGTAATAGGCGAAAAAGTTGGATGGAATACCCAAAACTCCAATAATTCTGGCTCCACCAGAGAGAAATTTAGGAGTTTCGATAAACGATTTTTGGGATAAATTGCATAATTGGGTGTAATTATAGGCATAGTAATTAGAAAGAGAAGTGGTCATAATTTTATCAATTTTAGTGTCGAACAACAAGGAAATAAGGCAGATGTAATTGATAAATTTTGATTAGTAAGAAAAACAACGAAAAAAAAAGAGAAGGTCACAGGTGAAAAATGAAAACGAAAGAACCTCAAATCACATTGTTTTGAGCAACGTTGAGCTTCGAAAAGAGTTTTTATGGAAAAATATGTATGTAGAAGGGTGCTAGAAATCAAATAATCTGTTATTAATGTTTGAGATGTCAGCCGAAAAAATAAAGGTTTCGAAGAATTGAACGTTGTTTAGAACCTTCGAAACATTTAGAATGTCAAAATCTTGGAATCCCAGAAATGGCGGGAATTTTCAAATTAGTTCAGAAGTTCAAAATTTAATATTCGAATCACTGATTCATGATTCTGAATCTTAACTCTATTCCTGGAAGTTTTGGTTTCAAACGCTTCATCTCATTTGGATGAATTTGATTATAAAAGCAGTCAACTACAAAATTATAGCCTATTTTTAATTAGTAGGCTTGAAAAGGTCCAGACCTATTCAGAAATATCTCCTATTTTTTTCAGCCAAATCTGTATATTTTCAGTAATTTCATGTCAACGTTTAAAAATGAGGTTGCATGCTAAAATGTTTATTTACAAAAAAGATTCTGATTCTAGTGACATATGTACATTCAACTAGTCCTTGAAATTATCTACAGTATCCACAAGTTCTTGGGCACTGGATCTTCATCCAATCTCTGAAGGCAACATTGTTGCAGAGTCGCAAATTGGCAGCGCATTCCGATCTTCCGGTGGTTGGGTTGACGACGTCAATGCAGGTAGATGAGGTGGTAGAAGAGCCTGGAATTATTCAATTTGGGTTTACAATAACTAGAACAGTGACTCACAGAGTCCGCAAGTTTGTGGGCAGTTGCGAGCCATGAAGTCTTTGTAGAAGACATCGTTACAGTAGCTTCTCCATCCTGGACACTCGTTGATTCCATTGGTATTCGAACGATCGGCACAGGAGAATGGAGGACGAATGGTGGGAGCAGTAGATTCAGAATAGATCACTTGAGAGGCAATGCAACATTCCCCATTGGTAACGGCAGTGTATCCAGTTGGACAGACGTTTCTGATAGATCCTAGAAATAGGCTTTATATAGATCAGGATTCTGAAAGCTCACTTCCAACAGTAGCAACTCGACAAGTGGAAATAGGAGTAGAAGACGTGGATGAACCTAAGAAAGAATTCAGTTTCATAATTTCTATTATTATTCTGAAGCTTACAGAATCCACAAGTTTGTGGGCAGTTTCGGTTCATGTAGTCTTTGTAGAAAACATCATTACAGTAGCTTCTCCATCCTGGACACTCGTTGATTCCATTGAGATTTGGTCGATCAATGCAGGGGAATAGAGGACGAGGGGTTGTACCAGTAGAATAGGTGACTTGAGAGGCAATGCAACATTCCCCATTGGTAACGGCAGTGTATCCAGTTGGACAGACGTTTCTGATAGATCCTAGAAATAGGCTTTATATGGACCAGGATTCTGAAAGCTTACTTCCAATGGTTGCAATTCGACACGTGGAAATTGGAGTTGGTTGAATGGATGTGAATCCTGGAAGTGTTGGAGTTGTAGTTGGAAATCCAAAGTGGAATCCAGAAGACGGGACCACAGCCAAAGCCAAAAGAGCCAAGAGAGTGTACATGTTTCCAAAAGGAAGGAAGAACATGTATTTCCTATCACGTTGTCGGCTTTTATACTTTCAGATATCATCGAAAATATTTGCTCTGAACTTTGAAACTATTTTCAATAGTTGCCTATAGCTGTTTCAACAATGTTGCAAGAAATCCCAAAAATATGAAATCGTCACTTTTGGTTCAGCTTCTGTTTCAACAAAGCGATGTCCAAAAAAACCAACTTTTGTTGAGACCAGTATAGTACAGGTCATTAACTTGTTGAAAATTAGATGTATGATTCCAAAAAAGATAACCATAAACACAATTTACAATTCCTATAAAAGAACCTGCGATCTTTGGAAAAAAAGGATGTTCTTCCTAATTCTCGGAAACATGCACACCATTTTGGCTGTTCTGGTTCTTACTGTGGCCACATCTTCTGGATTACACTTTGGATTCCCAACTCCAATTTCTCCTGGAATCCGGACAGGAGTTTCACCTCCGTTCTCTTCTTGTCGAGTTGCCACTTCTGGAAGGGAGTATTCAGAATTCTGGTCCACGTAAAAACCTATTTTTAAGATCTATCAACAATGTCTGCCCAAATGGATACATCGTAATCACAAGTGGTGAATGTTGCCGTGCTTCTGATGTCACATCGTCGGTCATTCCTACCACAACCATTCGTCCTCCATTCGCCTGTGCCGATCGTTCAAATACGAATGGAATCAACAAATGTCCAGGATGGAGAAGCTACTGTAACGATGCCTTCTACAAAGGCTTCATGTCCCGCAACTGCCCACAAACTTGCGGACTCTGTAAATCACTCTCCTAGTTCTTATGAACCAAATATAAAATGATTCCAGGCTCATCTACCATCCCATCAACCTGCATTGACGCCGTCAACCCAAATACCGGAAGATCTGAATGCGCCCCCAATTTGGGACTCTGCAACAATGTTGCCTTCAGAGATTGGATGAAGATCCAGTGCCCAAGAACTTGTGGATACTGTAGATAATTTCAAGGACTAATGTGTATTCTGTATATATGTCACTCAGAACCATTGTATGAAAAAACATTTAATCTGGCAATATCATTGTTGAAACTTGATACCAACTATTAGAATTACTGTAGAAGAGCTAATTTTATCACTGAAAACTAACTGGTCAAAAATTATGTGTTGACTCCAAATAAGTTTTATCAAGTCAAAAAGGTTCTAAATTGTTTAGTGCTGTCCAAATTTTATCCGAAAATAACCATTTTTCGGCAAGTGACTGGCACGTTGGCATTGTTTTTTCGCTGGGTCTTTTTTTTGACCTACCCCTGTCTTCTGGTTCTTCACACAGTGCGCTGGTGCGTTCAATACGGGGAGGACCCCCTTCTCGATTACGAGAGGGTGTCATATCCTTATTGAACGCACTGTAGAAGAGAGTAACTCGCCTGATCAGTCGTTCATTTCTTGTTTTGTTTTCTACTTATATTTTCCTACTTATAGACGCGCGCGAACGTTGAATTAGAGGTAATCGGTAGGCTAGAATAAACCGATAGTGTAGAAAATTAGAAATCAATAAGCCGATATCAAACCGCTTGATTACAAACTTTGACCGTGTTTATTTCTAGTTACTGTAATTTTTGGAAATTATGGATTTTTAGAAGTTTGACAGTTTTTATTTTTTAAACTTTATTGAATTTCCGAGTTTTTGAAATTTGCAAATGTTTTGCATTTTTTCGGAACTTCAGGATTTCAGGATTTCAAGGTTTTTTTGAATTTTTGAATTTTTTTGGTTTTTCAACTTTGAGTCAATTTAACTTGGTTTCTGTAAAAGGTATCAAAACGGGCTTAGCTGATAAAACGTTAATGATGTTATGATAAATGTCAGTTGACCCATTTTTTATATCTTTAACAGAAACCAAGACAAAATGTTTCAAAGTTAAGAGTCTAAAAGCCCTTCTATCACGGCATTTGTATTTGGCTGTGCTATTGGTTATCGATTCATGTAATTTATGCCTCGTTTACTCACTCATTTTGGTGGAGAATCAAAGATTTTTCAGCTTCAAATTTTTGCTTTCAATAATATCATTTTTGTTCATGTAACTTTATCGTAAAACCTGTCATATGTAGAAGGTCCCCTAGCTTTTAATTTTGAGCCAATTTTTCTCGGTCCCTGTCAAAGATAAAAAATTTTCCAACAGTCTCCAGAATAAAGCACACTACGTCCGACATTTTTTTTTTGAATTTTGAATATATGAATTTGAAGTCAGTTATCGTTCAGGTAACAATTTGCTGAAAAAAGGAACATTAAAATAAAATCAGGCAGATTGATCATTTTTAGAACCAGCCGACATCATCTTCTCGAATCTTCCAGTTTTTCTTGTCCAGATCGTTTTATGTTATAACCACAACAATTTTCCAGATGACACCTCAAACCATTGACACCAACAAAAAGTCCGCATCCAAAGCAAAGGCCAAGAGCTCTAGCCAATCCCCGACACCCCAAATGGATATTCAACGAGTTGACAAGGGAGCTCAAAAGTCTAAAGGATCGAAGAAAACTGAGAAGTCCCGAAATCAAAAGAAGATCTCAAGAAAAAATGTTGACCAAGCTACTGTGAGTTTTCTTCTTTTCTGAAATTGTAATTATTAAAATTGAAACATTCAGGTTCTCCAAAACATCGAAAATTCCAAAATCGAAGAGAAGAGAGAAGAAGCGAAGCTCCGTCGATCCCTGGAAGAAACTGTGGAGTTTTATGACAACAACCGTATTGAGGAGTGTCTTATGGAGTATTTTGAAGAAAGAGAAAATTGGAATCAGGTTCCGGATGAAAATCAAAACTATCTAGCCCCAATTATGACACTGGAGCATGTTCGCATGGTCTAATTCTTTGTGAATTTTTATTTCATCATGCTTCTTCTGTTCACTGGAAATTGACACTGTTTTATTTCTTCCCCTGTTTTTGACCATATTCCAGACTCAATCTTTTGTTTTAAAGCTATCTCAAAATTCTCTTTTTTTACCTTCCGATCTCTTGATTTCTTTTGATCGGTCCTTCAATTCATTTCCCATATTTTCTGTATCTCGCCTGTGTTTTTTTTACATATACGGTTTGTTTTTTCTTTTGTGAATAAATGCAATCGTGTGGATAGTTGAATCCGAAATTGAAGCTTTTAGAATCTCGGAAATCTGAATATCCTTTCAGATTCCTACAAATCTCAGAATTTTCCAAAGATACATGATTTTTCGAACTTCAGTAGAAGCTCAAAAAACGTTTGGTTCTTGTGATTTCAACCGTTTCAGACCAAAAAGGACTTTGTTTGAACAGATGATGGGTCAGAAACTAGAAAAAACTTGTTTATGGGATCATGTTGAAAAAATGATCATTTTGAAAAAGTGAGTCCGACTGAAAACATTTTATCTGCAAAAATGCGAAATAACAAGGATCTCTGCTCGCTCAAAAACTTGTAAATTGAGCAATGTAATGAGCTATAAAAGGACGTAACTCGAAATGTTCAACATCCTCCTCTGTGAAAGATGTGCAAACTTTTGGTTATTTTGGCTATTGTGGCTTCGGCTTCTGGAAAATCCACACCTTCAACTCCAGTTTCTTCGGAAAATAAGCCACCGGTTGCCAAGTCACATCCTTTCCAAGCTGGCCTACCAACGGCACCTTCTGGATTCAACTTTGGGTTCCCAACACAAGCTACAATTCCAGCTCCAACAACTACGTCTTGCAGAACTAGACCAATTGGAGGTAATTTCTCAAGATGACCTTTAGAAAGCTTTAAAAGGAAACTTCCAGAAGCCATCTACAATCAGTGTCCCACCGGTCACACCCTGATTTCCAGTGGTGAATGTTGTCCTACTCAACAAGTCCTCCCATCCCCAACCAGTCACTCGACATGCTTCGATAAGGCAAATGCCAATGGAATCAACGAATGTCCACAATGGAAGGAATACTGTCATCACATGTTCCACAAGAGCTACATGACCCATCATTGCCCACAGACTTGTGGATTGTGTGAGTTCTCTATTAGATCCATAGAAATAACTAAAAAGTATTTCAGGTCCAGCCACCGCCTCTACCACATGTGTTGATTCGATCAACCCAACGACTGGAAGATCTGAATGTCTCGCCAACATTGGACTCTGTAACAATGCTTCGTTGAAGGATTGGATGAAGATTCAGTGCCCAAAGACTTGCGGATACTGTCAATAATCAAATTCTTCTTCTTTTTTTTTGGCGTAGATCGCTAGTGTTGTAAATAATTGAATCTTTTTAAAATAAATATTCATTCGGGCAATTCAGATGATCTCTGGCATAATTGAAATTCTGGGTGAACTCCTACGTTCCTTTGAGGAAGAGAGTTTCTAGCAAAACATTGATTTGTAAAGCTTTTTCAGCTATATATTTCACACTCAGATAGAAACAATATTATCATTTTTGAAAGCAGTTGGGATCAGAATTGCTGATATTCTACTTCCTGTTTCTAACGTTAAAATGGGAAAGCCATTCATCACTTAACTTTTTTTCCAGGAGCTCAGTGGATGGTCGGGATTAACCTAGTCGTATCAAGGACCTAATTTTTCACGAGTAACACGTTTCAGATGGTTCAAAATTTATCGGATGCACAATTTGAAGCGATTCTACAGGAAGCCAGGCAAAAATGATCTGCAGAAGATAAAATTGACATTTTCTGCAATAGTAGAATTTATGAAGATTTAGAGGAGTACTTCAAAGAACGAGAAATTCAGATTCCTTGGAAAATGTTTGAACATTTGCTCACCCGTTATCTTCTCTTTTTGTATTTCA